ATACAGAGATGTTATCTGAAATGTTGTGACACTTGAGACAACATGCAGCGGAAATATAAAGATTAAAAGACAGTACTCAGAATTAAAAATGTTCACAAGTAAAGACTTGTGAACTTGCCCTTTACAGGACGGAAAAATATATTAAAATCAGTATTCCAAGAATACAAACAGAAGAGGTGCGAAAACTTCTTCCTTATGAATGAATCTTTTTCAAGATCATTCTTACAATCAAATCTAGATACTAAAAGAAAAATATTAAAAATTCTAGATTTCACAGAATGTACTCGTGATGAGTACGTAAAGAACTTATGAATGAATCACTATCTTGATCATTCTTACAACCAAGTCTAGAAACATATATACTATACAATCTAGACTACAAAGAATGTACTTATGAGAAGTACGTAAAGAATGTACTCATAAGGAGTACGTAAAGATTGTACTCATGAGGAGTACAAACGACCGATTCTAAAACCACTCTAAAACACTCATGAATATTCTTCAGCCCTCGGTTTTTATTTCGTAGAATCAATAATCTTCCTTGAGTATTGAAGTCGGTTTTTATAGGCATTCCAAGCATCCACTCCTCAGCCCATGATCTGCAAGAAAACCAACTACAAGAGCACTCAAGAACATGGGTTAGTGGGTTAGTGGGTTAGTTTAAGGAGTTAGAATAATATTCACAATTAAACCCACTTAAGCACTACTTAGCCCACTAAGCACTATACTTAACCCACTAAGCACTATTTATTCCATAACTAAAATTAAGTTTAAAAAATAAGAAAGTTAAAAACACAATGTGGAAATAATCCACGTGTTTCACTATTTATTCTAAATTATAAAAGATAATTGAACAAATTAATATTAACTTCAAATAAACCGATTAAAAAGAACTTAAATTCTAATTTAAATAAAAAAAAAACAAAATTGTAATATCAAAATGCACATGTCTGACTGTATGTATGTATGCAAGTACAATTACAAAATAATTATTATAATGAATTTTTAGAATTTTCTTCACACTTAATTCAAATTATAATTAAAAAAGGAGATGTGGGTGGCATCACAAAGAGATGACGTGGCAATTTGCTGGATGCAGCGAGTCGACGACGCGGTTTCTCCATAGCCACCAACTAAAAAGTCAAGCTTCGATGCAGACAAATTTTAAAAATACAATCTTTAAACTTTTTTTTTTAATTATTGTTTAAAAAAAAGTTCAACAAAAAAATTTATATTTATTTACCTATAAAATATTCATAACTTTTATAACTAAAGTATGCAGTTTATAATTTTCAATCAGCCCTTTTAAATTTATTATGAGTTCTTCTATAATATCGAACTGACTTGACCGTCGTACGAGAAAATTCGTGAAAAATATAAATAACGAAAAATGGAATTTTGTCATTCAATCAAGCATACTGAGTAAGATTTAACCATACATGAATATATGTAAACAACTATTTAATTTATTCACATCTACATGTGTAGATATAACATATAATAAAACTACATTGTTTATTTAATATATCCAAAATAAGGTGACCTAATTTCAACTACCCCTGTAATTACCAATAAACCACCAAAATACCAACCTAATTTTTTTATGTGTTCACTTGTTTTAATTTAGTTATGGGAATTGTGGAGCTTTAAAGAGATACATTAAAAATAAAAACTCAATAACATATATGAAAAAAAAAATATGTATTTATATTGCTCACTTGATAATCTAGTTTAGAAAAAAAATGGAAATATTAATCTTTCAAAAATACATTTTTTAGAAAATTCGTTTCTGAATTTTTTTTTCTTGAATTGAAATCGAATGGGGTATATAATTTATATGCACTATATATAAGTCAGAAAATCAGATGAGTATGATTAAATCAACGGTTGGAATTCGAAAAAATTTCATTACGATTTTCACCACCGGAAGTGACCATGTAGAGAATTCTACGCTCAAGTCAATAGTCAACTCAAAATTGATGTAATTTCAGAAAATAATAATCCAACAAATATAAGAAAATATAACTTTTTTTAAATTTGTTTTTTTTTTTATTTCCCATGAAAAATACACCTGTGAAGTAGGGCGGATCCTACAATGTTTTTATGATGTTAATGCAGTAGGTGGATGCCAAATGTACTATTTATTATTTATTAATTAACACCTGTCAAAAATATATTTTCTACACATATTTAACTAATTTATTAAAAATATTATAAAATATACAGCATATAATAATAATAATAATACAATATCAATGTAAAAGTATTTTTTTAAAGTCTAAACCATTTATTTAAAATATATCTAAATTCATGAGGGTTTATTTTTTAATTTCAACATCTATTTTTTTTTCTCCTTATATTCAATCAATATATATTATTATTATTGAAATATTACCATTTCAATTCACCATTGTTGTTGGAGAAAGTGATGAAGCAAAGATCAATGTAGACAAAAAATGATGAATATTTCTAAGACAAATTATAGTGAGACCCCACAAATTAATTATTAAGGATGAATATTAGAAATGTCATATTCGTAAATTGGCGATTATGCTGATGATGCACATCCTTGTTACCATTTCAATAATATAAATTAATTAAAAAAAATAAAAAAATTGGTTACGATGCACAAGATAACATTGCAAAAAGGAAGAAAAATATAAATATTGATACAATAATTACATAATACTAAAATGATTAGTAGTGAAGTTTAAATTATCAAAATAGCATTTAAAAAGTTAAATTAATTAACGCAACGGTGGACGTGTAAGAAGATTCCACTAAATTTGAAATCGAAAGGGGACGTAAGAAGATTTATAGTTGAAGGGGTAGTTGTAAATTACCCAAACAAGAGGGGAATTTTCGTAATTTTACCATACATCAGGAGTGTGGTTGTAATTTACCCATTTTTATTTTATTTTATTTTATTTATTTATTTCTTACTTTTTGAAAATTAAGATTTACTTTTTGCTTTTAAAATATAGGGTAAATTACAAACACCCCCCTAAGGTATGGTCAAATTACAAAAATCCCCCTCTTGTTTGAATAATTACATCTACCCCCTCAGTTATGATTTTTTCTTACACCTCCACCCTTATGGTGCCAAATCAACATAATCATCTAAATTTCGTGGAATGTGCTCTAGTTTGTACTCGTTTTGTGTAAAAATACAGTTTCCGATGCACCACAAACTGATACATACAAGCTAAAAAACACATATTATGATCATCTTGCTTCATAATGTAGAGTTTGAATCGGATAAAACGGGTACATAAGTGATAATATTCCATATAATTTCGAAGATTCCACTAAAATTGAGGAGTTGAGGGGGTGGTTGTAATTATCCAAACAAGAGGGGTGTTTTTGTAATTTGACCATACCTCAGGGGGGTGTTTGTAATTTACCCTTAAAATATATAATGAAAATTCAGCCCCTACCACGTGAGGCCCATGCAAGTTGCAAAAATTGTTCTATTTTTTGTGGTCCATTTTCTTTTCTTCTCCAATTTATGGTCCTACTTGCTAGAAAATGGCAATACATGCTTCTTTATTTTATTTATGTATTTTATAATTTTGAATAAATTTTATAAACTATGTACATTGTTTTCCTAATAAATAATCATCATAATATTTCTATTTATAGATAATTGAATATCAAAAAGGATTTTCGAATAGTTATTATTCTAGAGTCGTGGAAAGTATAGGATCCCGTCATGTGGAAGTAGGAACAAAATTTCAAAGTCCGGTTTTTTTTTTTAAAACAATGATTTTCATTTTTTTTAACATTTTTGGATTATATTTTGAATATATATAAGATTCCGATGTATGATTCTATAATTTTCGAAAATAATTCCGACCAATATTATTATGTATCATATGTGAATAAAAATATGAAAATTTTCGATTTTGGAACAAAAATTTCATTTCAATTTTGTGAAACTCCAATTTTCAAATGTTTTTCTTGGAAACGAATTGGAATGGATTTTCCACTTCCGAAAAAAATAGAAACTTTTTACGAATATGCTAATTACGAAGCATCTAAACTATGATGTTTAACAAATAAATGCAAATTACGTCCACCCCTGAAGTAAGCCTAAATTATGAAACCCCCCATCATATTTGAATAATTAGAACCACCCCTTAACTATGTATTGTCTTACGAGAAACCACCTCCTTCAGTAGGTAAATTTATCACCCTAAGAATAGTCGTGTAAGACAATAATACATAGTTAATTATAATTACCTAAACACTGGGGATTTTTGTAATTTGATAATACCTGACTGGGCCCACCTTAATTTGACTTTAAAAATAATATTGTAGTATTCTAAACTAGGGGTGTAAACGAGCCGAGCTCGAGCCGAGCTCGCCTCTTTTGGCTGGCTCGAGCTCGAGCTCGAGTTTATTTTGTCGAGCTCGAGCTCGAGCTCGAGCTCGCGAGCTCCTCTTTTTTTGGCTCGAGCTCGAGCTCATGTCAGTTGTGTCGAGCTCGAGCTCGAGCCCATTGTCTTTTTTTTTTTTTTTTAAATATTTTTTTAATTATTATTTTATTATTAAAAATTATTTAAAAAAAATAAAAAATAAAAAATAAATTGTAATTATATATATTTTTAATATTTGTATTTATTTCTATAATATTTTACATTATTATACATTATTTAAATAAAAATAACATATAAAAAATAAAAAAAATAATAAAAAAATAATAATAAATCCGGCTCGCGAGCTCATGAACAACTGAAAACCGGCTCGAGCTCGGCTCATCAGAAAGCTCGAGCTCGAAAATCTCGAGTTCGAGTTCGAGCTTTTTACGAGCCGGCTCTTCGAGCTCACGAGTCGGCTCGGCTCGTTTACACCCTTATTCTAAACAAAAGTAATATTGCAGAATTACATAAATCTATTTAATTATTTAATTTTAATTCGGAAGAAGAAATATTATTGGAGAGTAAAAAAGTAAAAACAAGAAACAGAAGAGAACAAGGCACAAATCTTTGGGCTAGCACACTCAGAAAATCCCTGCTATAAATCAAAGCTCACTGGACACTTAGGAGAGAGAAAGTGTAGAGAGAGAGAGAGAGAGTAGAGAGAGAAAGTGCAGGAGATCGCATTTATCTCTTACCTTCGCACTGTCTCCAGCACACCATTCAGACCGAACACTCCGCCGCCGTCTCAATCTTCTCTCCGCCACCATGTTTTCATTAAACGGAAGCACCTTTCTGGTAATTTTTTAAAAAAAAAAAAACAAAAAAAAATCATTTTATTATGTGTTTTTTTTTTTAATTTCCAATTATATTTCCTACATTCTGTCGATTTCTTCTACGATTTTCCTCTTCTGATCCCCATTTCGAGAAAATCTACGATTGACACAAATTACACGACACCCATATAAAAAAGATCGGGATTTTTATTATTTTTATTTATTAAATCTAATATTTTCAACATTTAATTTTGATTTTAATTTTGTGAAGAACAATTCTCTGTGTGGGGTGTCGAAAAGCTTGACGCAGTCGGCGCAGAGGAAGATATCAGCTCCTCCCACGACGGTGGTGGCTTCAGTGAGTTCAAATGGGAGGTCTGGGGATCGAAACGTCGGCGTTTTGATGGAGAGTACTTTGAAGGAGATGAATGAGAATGCCACGTCATCGTCTTCGGCATCTCAGATAACGGTGATTGAGAAAGACACCAAATCCACCGTCGGCGGCGGCGTGGAAGATGTGTACGGCGAGGATAGCGCCACCGAGGATCAGTACATCACCCCTTGGACTGTCACCGTTGCTAGGTGACGAATCTTGTTTCATTCATAATTTTCTCCTGTGTGTGTGTGTGTGTGTGTTTGGTGAGGTTTGTGGGGAATTTCGATGATTCCTATGCTTGTGTGTGTTTTGTGTGTGTGTGCGTGTTTGGTGAGGCTTCTAGGAAATTTCGATGATTCCTATGTTTCTGTGTGTGTGTGTGTGTGTGTGGGTTGTGGGTGGGTGGAAATGCATTGGATGTGAATTATAGTATTTTCAGAAAATTTTAATTCTTTCAAGAAATGAAAAATTAATTCTTCCAAATAAAATCGCAAATCGGAATTTCAGGAATGAAAAACTTGTTCCGAAATCAGGAATTTTCAGATCGGAATAGACGGAATTCGGAAATTTCATTTTTTATATCTATAATATAAAATAAAAAAATAATATTGATATCATAATTGTAATTTTCGTGAAAAAATCGGAATTTTTGGAAATGGGTTTGGTAATTAGACCAGCTAAAAAATCTGAAACGAATATGTATTCCAATTCTATTTTTTTTCTTTTCTAAATTCGAAAAAAATCAGAACTTTCGAAATTTGGAAAGAAAAACATTGTTCCAGAATCCAAAATATTCCAACTCTATGTGTGTGTGTGTGTTCGGTGAGGTTTCCAGGGGGTTTCTACGATTCCTATGTTTATTTATCCATAATAAACAAATAACTTGATCGTGTTTTTATTATGTCTCGAGTTTATTTACTTTTTAATCTTTCGTTAAAAGCTCGTTTTGAGTTCCTCTTTTACTAGATGGATGATGAGAATCGTTGTAGCTTTCTGGAAAAAAAAATACAAAAACTAATATACGTATAAATGAAAAACGAGTGATGCGTTTGAAGATAGAAATGCTTTATTTCATCTCTAATGGTTTCGTTAATTTCTCGTTTTTTTTTACAGTGGATACCCGTTATTGCGGGACCCACACTACAACAAAGGCCTCGCCTTTACAGAGAAAGAGAGGGATGCTCATTTTCTCCGAGGTCTTCTCCCACCTGTTGTTATCAGCCAAGCCCTCCAGGTAATTAATTAAATACACTGCTCGTTTTATTTATAAATTTACGATTTTTATAATACTAACATTTTCCACTCGTAAAAAATAAATAAAAACGAAAAAATGTGACAGGTTAAGAAAATGATGCACAATATGCGTCAGTATCAAGTACCGCTTCAACGGTACATGGCTATGATGGATCTTCAGGTAAAATTATTACCTACTTAATTTATTCGATAATTTTATTCAAGAATGTCATGTTTAATTACTTAATTAATTAATTAATTAATTATTATTATAATATTCAGGAGAGAAACGAGAGATTGTTCTACAAGCTTCTGATTGAAAATGTGGAGGAATTGCTTCCAGTGGTTTACACTCCGACTGTGGGGGAAGCGTGCCAAAAGTACGGGAGTATTTTCAGACAACCTCAAGGCCTCTTCATCAGTCTCAAAGAAAAGTATGTGTTGACCTTTCGGAAGGTTCTAGAAGATTCTATTTTGACTTTTTGTTTGTAAGTGATGTTTTTTTATACTAAAAAATGTATGTATATATATTTGCAGGGGAAGAATTCTCGAGGTGTTGAAGAATTGGCCGGAGAAGAAGATTCAAGTTATCGTGGTGACTGACGGTGAAAGGATTTTGGGACTCGGAGATCTCGGCTGCCAGGTAATAATAGGATTTTTAAATTTTTTAATTTAAATAAAGTATGATTTTTTTATAAATTCGTAAATCGTTTAATATAATCAGGGAATGGGGATACCCGTGGGGAAGCTTTCGTTGTATTCAGCTCTTGGTGGCATTCGTCCTTCTGCTGTAAGTATTTTCAATATATATATATATATATATATATATATATTTATTTATTTCGTTTGTTCTGATTTATTTCGTTTGTACTGCTAGATAACGGCATTTTTTTCGTTTGTACTGATTTTCCCATTGTTGATTTTTTTTTTTATATTTATTTATTTCAGTGCTTGCCTGTGACGATTGATGTGGGAACAAATAACGAGCAGTTGTTAAATGACGAATTTTATATCGGTCTTAGAAGAAGAAGGGCAACCGGGCAGGTTAACAATCTCACTTTACTTCCTGTGTATATATATATATAATTATATATATATATATATATATATATATATTTATATATATATATATATATATATATATATATATATATATATATATATATATATATATATATATATATATTCTTAAATCGGAATTTATATGCGCAAACAGGAATATTCTGAGCTTCTGGACGAGTTTATGTCTGCAGTGAAGCAGAATTACGGAGAAAAAGTTCTCGTCCAGGTGTGTAATTAGCAGTTAAAAGTTTATTTTTATTTATTTTTTCATTTTATGATTCTTAAGAATATTTTTCGTGTGAAAAATTCTGCAGTTTGAAGATTTCGCAAATCACAATGCTTTTGATCTCCTTGCTAAGTATGGAACCAGTCATCTCGTTTTCAACGATGATATTCAGGTAAAATTATATTATTTTAGAAATGTATTTAGGCATGTTATATAATAATATTGTTAATTATTATTTTTAAATTCTGGCATTTTAATTTAATATTAAATGTGTATTTAGGGGACTGCATCTGTGGTCCTTGCCGGACTTATGGCTTCGTTGAATTTAGTCGGGGGCACCTTAGCCGAACATACTTTCCTATTCCTCGGAGCTGGAGAGGTGCATTTTTTCATTATTTATCTCATATTTTTTTTTCGATTTTTCTAAATACGCTTCAAATTTTATTAAATTAAATAAAATAATAATAATAATAATATTTTGAATGCTAATTTAAATTATGTTAGTTAACAAAGTTTATTAATGCAGGCTGGAACTGGTATTGCAGAACTCATAGCTCTCGAGATTTCAAAACAGGTTAATGAATGCTCGTATGCACTTTTATAATTTCTATATTTATAATTTATTTATTTGTTTATTTATTTTTATTTTTTTAATGTATACAGACAAGTGTCCCGGTGGAAGAGGCTCGCAAGAAGATTTGGCTCGTGGACTCAAAGGTATCGAAATTCTCTACATTTCTTTATTTTTTTATTTCTTTTAATGAAATTAGACACCTAAAAATTATTTTTTTAATTTCAGGGTTTGATTGTTAATTCTCGTTTCGAGTCTCTTCAACATTTCAAGAGGCCGTGGGCCCACGAACACGAACCCGTCACAACTTTGTTAGAAGCTGTCAAGGTTTGAGCTCTCACTCTCTTTTCCTCAATTTTTTCGTCCTACTATATATAATTTTTTAATGCTAATTTTAATCAATTAAATTATTAAACAATTATTAAATTTTGTCTTTCTTCGACAGACCATTAAACCGACAGTATTAATCGGATCATCTGGAGCTGGAAGAACCTTTACGAAAGAAGTGGTCGAGGCAATGTCATCTTTCAACGAGGTACAAATATTTGATATAAAATAAAATCGATCTTTTATTGTTCTCGACGAAAATATGCATTTTAAATCTTACTCGAAAATCGTAATATTTTAATTTTTTTTATTGGCTTTCAGAAACCTGTTATTCTAGCCCTCTCCAACCCAACATCGCAGTCCGAATGTACAGCCGAAGAAGCTTACACATGGAGTGAGGTGACCATCTTCACTAAAAAAAACTCGTTTTTATTTTATTTTTCTTTATTTATTTATTTTCCTATTTTTATGATTTTTTTTTTAATTTGTTATTTTAGGGCCGAGCCATTTTTGCTAGTGGGAGCCCGTTCAGCCCAGCCGAATACAACGGCAAATTTTACGCATCGGGCCAGGTTTTCACTCTAATTACATCCATTTTGCTAAAAAAAATTGATATAAATTTTTATTGCACCGACTTATCATTAATTATTTATTTAATCGGTGTAGGCGAACAATGCATACATCTTTCCCGGATTTGGTCTCGGTTTGATAATTTCTGGTGCAATTCGAGTTCACGAAGATATGCTTCTAGCAGCTTGTAAGTTACCTAGATATACGCATGATCGAAAAATAACGACAAATATTTTATTTTTTTCTCGATTTATGGATTTTGGTATAATGATAATAAAATTCTAATTCTTTCGTGCTCATTTTTTTTTAATAAACAGCGGAAGCATTAGCTGAACAGGTTAGCCAAGAGAACTTAGATAAAGGATTAATATATCCACCGTTTTCGAACATCAGATATATTTCAGCCCAGATTGCCGCCAGGGTGGCAGCTAAAGCATACGAACTAGGTAAAATCAGCATCCCATTTTTTCACGAGTGAAAATAATTTTGATATTTTCCTCATTTCAAAATATTCGATCCAATCAGTGCCTAAATGCTATTAACCTAGTAAAATTGTCTTGTAATAATTTATTTCTTTTGTGTATTTTTTTAGGTTTGGCGACTCGTCTACCTCAACCGGAAAACCTAGTAGCGTACGCAGAGAGCTGTATGTACAGCCCCAACTACCGTAACTATCGTTAAACAGGTGGAAGAATCGATAAAACATTGCCGTTTTTTCGTTAATCCCCCTCCCCCGCTCTTATTTTCTGAATTATTGCCCTGTTTTTGAATTATTGCATAAATTAAAAGACACTAGGATTAGGTGTTTGAAATGGAATATGAGAATGGTGAAAGTGTGGTGTATCAGTAAAATTTAGTCCTATCAAGTATCTTTTTTTTTTCCCTTTATAATTAATATATATTTAATAGCTTTCTTAGCACAAAAACCTTAAATAATAATTATTTTACAGAAGATAGAATAATATTTAAATATTTATTATAACGTTATAAGTTATTGAACAAATACGTTATTATTAATTGAATAGTGGATAAATATATTTAATTTTTTAAAAGATCCACTTATAACATATATTCAAACATAAAAATAGAAAAACACCATTTTCGATAGGTACAAGTAAAAAGGACTAATTAAATATATATAATGTATTTAAATCACTAAAATTAAGTAAAATTTTATATATTTTAAAGTCGTCGTACAGATAAGATTGTGAGGAAAAAGAAAAAAATGTAAGTAATGTTGCAATCCACAATCTAATTATTCAAATTTATACAAATAAAGTTTAATAAAATCTATAACATGTAATTCAATTTTCTCAAAGGACTTGAAGATTATCCATACGTACATGTAATATTATGCAGATTTCAAGTACAATGTAAAAAAAAAAAACCCCAATATACTTGTATAATTTGATATTAATTAATGCTAAATAATTACTTAAATATTTTAAACGCATCACCTATTTTTGCCAATGTAACTAAAAATTAGTATTGCTTTATCGAAAATTTCGTCGCCATTTCCTTGATTTCTCTAAATGACTAATATTAAAGTAGTTATACATTTAAAAAAGAAATTAGTCGTCGTGAAAATCTACCTTCAGTAACATTGATCATTTACTTGACATCAAGTACATTCGCTAATTCACCTCTCAATTTACTTCTTTAAATCATAAAATAATACGACTTATCCAGTCTTTAAGTCGTGATCATCATAATTTCGAAATAGACAACAATCATTTACATTTCGAACTAATCTCTTCTGGACCATTGGAGAAAATGTCTCCACCGTAATTAGGGTTATGGAGATGATTGCCGAGATAAAACGTGTATCAAGGTTGTATGTGTGTGTTCGATGATTCTTAAGGAACGCTATTCTTAGTAGTATTTATGCATCCAGCCAGAGTCTCCAGAATCAATCACGTACGGGATTCTCTTTTATTCCTATTAAAACGTGTCCCGCAAGTCTCAGGATCTTTTTGATACGATCTCAGAATCTTCATAAAATCGTTTTTTAAGGTTATTTGGAGCTCCGAACTGAACTTCAGGCTCATTTCTTTTAGAAATTTAGCTGAACCAGCAAGATTTGACTCACTATACCAAATCTACCCCATCAATTATATACTATTTATAAAACTTCCAATCTAAACAAATACATAGGAACAAATAATTTTTTTTTTTCATATGATAGTTCACAAAATTATTTTTCCTTAAAAGGTAAAATTGCCTAAAAAATATTTTGTACATAACTCATACCCAAATCCTAGTATTTTCCGACATGGTCAAGTATAATTCTTTTGTCTTCCCTTTTTCGGCTTTTACTAAAATTGACCCTTTTTATCACGCTCTCCGATTGCGTAATAATCCTACCACCCCCCCCCCACCCACCCCCCACCCCCTACCCCCCTACCCCACCCTGCATATAAATCTGCTAGATTTTACTGTTCACCACCAAATTACAGATTGGAATACACACATATACATGCATGTTTTTCATATGTGAAGTGATACACTTCAATTCTTGCTTTTTTCATTTAAACTGATTGGTTTTCTTTGAAATTAAATTAGGGTTTTCAATTGAAGTTTGGATCTCTTTGTTGAATTTGTGAAATCTCGAAGCCACCGCAGCTAGAACGCACAATTTCAATTTTATGGCTGATCCTTTCTAGGGTTTTTTTTAATTGATTTCTCTTTAATTCTCTGCTTCAAAGACTGATTGGAAGGTTCAATTCCAGTTTTTTGTTTACCTGTGAGCGATTTTGTTTCTCGAATCCATCACCGGAAAAACTTTATCCGGTGGTGATTTTGAATTTGATATCCCCCTTTTTCGATCCCCAAGGGTTTTTTTTTTGTTCTTGCATGTCTAAGTAAATCCGCCCTAATCGTAAAAGTTTGAAGAATTAAGTGATTTTTTTGGGGGTTTAACTTGAATTCGATTTGATTTACCCTCTTGTACGCAAAAATACAAAATCCGCCATGGCTTCGTACAGACCATTTCATCCGCCGCCGCCGCCGCAGCCAGCATTTGCTCAGCCGCCGCCGCCACCTCCGCCAAATCAAAATCCTTTGCAGCCTCCAGCACCACCGCCACCACCGCCATCACGTGGCGGCAATCAGTATTCGCAGAATTGGGGTGGCCCCTACACCAGCGCCGATGGCTCGAGCTACAATCAGAGCTATTCCCAGACAAACCCTAGCTCCAATTACCACCTTTCATCACAACAGCAGCACTTCAACGCCACGGCCAGAAACCAGCTTCCACCGCCGGCAACAACACCTCAAACCCAGCCATTTCCATATCA